CACACTGTATCTCTGTATTCTATCATCTCACATGGATACCTATGGAGCATATAAGTTCGCAACGATTATTTAAGACGACATCGAAGCGGGTATAACGCTTACGACAGGCAGAACGAGAAAGTTCGACCCCGACTATGCTTCCACTGTAACTCCGCATTCTAGCATCTGACATGCTTACAGCTATAACGATAACGATCGCACTGACCATATGAGACGACTTCGAAGGACATATAACGAGAACAATAGGCACGTGAAGATACTTCGACAACAGTCTGCACACTGTATTTCTGTATTCCAACATCTCACATGAATACCTTTGGAGCATGGTTGTTCGCAACGATCATATGTGACGATATCAAATCGGGTATAACGCACACAGCAGGCAGTACAAGAAACTCCGACTTCGACTATGTTTACACTGTTACTTTGCATTCTTGCAGATGCGATCGTTCAAACCATATAAGACGACTTCAAAGGACTTATAACGAGAACAATAGGCAAGTGAAGATACTTCGACAACATCAGTCCGCACACTGTTTCTCTGTATTCTATCATCCCACATGGATACCTTTGTAGCATATCAGTTCACAACGATCATATGAGACGACATCGGAATGCGTATAACGCATACAACAGGGACAACAAGAAACTTCGACTATGTTAACACTGTGGCTCCGAAATCTAGCAACTGACATGCCTACAGTTAAAGCAGATACGATTGCTCTGACCATATGGAAAGACTTTGAAGGACATATTACGAGAATAATAGGCAAGTAAGAATACTTCGACAACATCAGTCTGCTCACTGTTATTCTGTATTCTATTATCTCACATGGGTGCCTTCGGAGCTTATAAGTTCGCAACGACGATATAAGATGGCTTTGAAGGACTCATAACAAGAACAATTGGCAAGTGGAGATACTTCGACAACATCAGTCCGCATACTGTATCTCTGTATTCTATCATCCCACATGGATACCTCTGGAGCATGTCAGTTCGCAACGATCATATGAGACGACATCATATCGGGTAAAACGAACACAACAGGCAGAACAAGAAACTTCGACTTTGCCTTTGTTTACACTGTGGCTCTGAATTCTAGCATCTGACATGCCTACAGTTAAAACAGATACGATCGCACTGACCATATAGGAAGACATTGAAGAACATATAACGAGATTAATAGGCAAGTGAGGATACTTCGACTACATCAGTCTGCACACTCTAGCTTTGTATTCTATCATCTCACATGGGTGCCTTTGGAGCATATAAGTTCGCAACGATCATATGAAACGGCATCGAAGCAGGCATAACTCACACAACAGGAAAAACAAGAAATTTCGACTTTGACTATGTTTACACTGAGGCTCTGAATTCTTACATTTGACATGCCTACAGTTGAAGCAGATACGATCGCACTGACAATATTAGACGACTTCGCAGGCCATATAATGAGAACAATAGACAAGTGAAGATACTTCGACAACATCAGTCTGCACACTGTATCTCTGTATTCTATCATCTTACATGAATTCTTTTGGAGCATTTTTGTTCGCAAAGATCATATAAGACATCGGAGTGGGTATAACGCACACAACAGGCAGAACAAGAAACTTCGACTTCGACTAAGGTTTCACTGTAACTTCACATTCTAGAATCTGACATGCTTACAGCTATAGTCGATAAGATCGCACTGACCATATAAGATGACTCCGAAGAACATATAACGAGAACAATAGGCAAGTGAAGATACTTCGACAACATCAGTCTGCACACCGTATCTCTGTATTCTATCACCTCACATGGATACCTCTGGAGCATATCAGTTCGTATCGATTATATAAGACGACATCAAAACGGATATAACACAGACAACAGGCAAAACAAGAAACTCCGACATCGACTATGTTCACACTGTGATTTCGCATTGTCGCATCTGACATGCCTACAGTTATAGCAGATACGATTGCACTAACCATATAGGACGACTTCGAAGGACATATAACCAGAACAATAGGCATGTGAAGATACTTCGACAACATCAGTCTGCACACTGTATCTATGTATTCTATCATCTCACATGGATACCTTTGGAGCAAATCGGTTCGCAACGATCCCATAAGACGACACCGAAGCGGGTATAATGCACACAACAGGCAGAACAAGAAACTTCGACTCCGACTATGTTTACACTGTTACTCCATATTCTAGCATCTGACATGCCTACAGCTATAGCAGATGCGATCGCAATGACCATATAAGACGACTTCGAAGGACTTATAACGAGAACTATTATTGGCAAGGGAAGATACTTCGACATCCGTCTGCACACTGAATCGCTGTATTCTATTATCTCACATGAATACCTTCGGAGCATGGTAGTTAGCAACAATCATATGAGACGACATCAAATCGGGTATAACGCACACAACAGGCAATTCAAGAAACTTCGACTTCGACTATGTTTACACTGTAACTTTGCATTCTAGCATCTGACATGCCAACAATTATAGCAGATACGATCGCACTGACCATATAAGACGACTTTGAAGGACTTATAACGGGAACAATAGGCAAGTGAAGATACTTCGACATTAGTCTGCACACTTTTTCTTTGTATTCTATTATCTCACATGGATACCTTTGTAGCATATCGGTTCGCAACGATCATGCGAGACGACATCAGAGCGGGTATAACGCACACAACAGGCAGAACAGGAAACTCCGACTCCGACTATGCTCACACTGTAACTCCGCATTTTAGCATCTGACATGCCTACAGCTATAGCAGATACGATCGCACTGACCATATAGGACGACATCGAAGGACATATCACGAGAACAAAAGGCAAGTGAAGATACTTCGACATCAGTCTGCATACTGTATCTCTGTATTCTATCATCTCACACAGGACAAGAAACTTCGACTCCGACTATGTTTACATTGTAACTACGCATTCTAACATCTGAGATGCCCACAGCTATAGCAGTAACGATCGCACCGACCATATGAGACGACTTCTGAGGAAATATAACGAGATCAATAGGCAAGTGGAGATACTTCGACAACATCAGTCCGCACACTGTATCTCTGTATTCTATCATCTCACATGAATACCTCTGGAGCATATAAGTTCGCAACGATTATTTAAGACGACATCGAAGCGGTGAATAATGCTCACAACAGGCAGAACGGGAAAGTTCGACCCCGACTATGCTTCCACTTTAACTCCGCATTCTAGCATCTGACATGCCTACAGCTATAACAGATACGATCGCACTGACCATATGAGACGACTTCGAAGGACATAAAACGAGAACAATAGGCACGTGAAGATACTTCGACATCAGTCTGCACAATGTATTTTTGTATTCTAACATCTCACATGAATACCTTTGGAGCATGGTTGTTCGCAACGATCATATGTGACGACATCAAATCGGGTATAACGCACACAGCAGGCAGAACAAGAAACTTCGACTTCGACTATGTTTACACTGTTTCTTCGCATTCTGGCATCTGACATGCCTACAGTTATTGCAGATGCGATCGTTCAAACCATATGAGACGACTTCAAAGGACTTATAACGAGAAAAATAGGCAAGTAAAGATACTTCGACAACATCAGTCCGCACACTGTATCTCTGTATTCTATCATCTCACATGAATACTTTTGGAGCATTTCAGTTCGCAACGATCATATAAGACATCGGAGTGGGTATAACGCACACAACAGGCAGAACAAGAAACATCGACTTCGACTATGGTTTTACTGTAACTTTGCATTGCAGATGCGATCGCACTGACCATATAAGACATAACGAGAAAAAAAGGCAAGTGAAGATACAAGAACAACAAGAAACTCTGACTCCGACTATGTGTACACTGTTATTTCGCAATTTAGCATCTGACATGCCTACAGCTATAGCAGATGCGATCGCAATGGCCATATAACACGACTTCGAAAAACATATAACGAGAACCATAGGCAAGTGAAGATACTTCGACATCAGTCTGCACACTGGATCTCTGTATTTTATCATCTCACATGGATACCTTCGGAGCATGGTAGTTAGCAACAATCATATGAGACGACATCAAATCGTGTATAACGCACACAACAGGCGAATCAAGAAACTTCGACTTCGACTATGTTCACACTGTGACTTTGCATTCTAGCATCTGACATGCCCACAGTTATAGCAGATACGATCGCACTGACTATATATAAGACGTCTTTGAAGGACTCTCAACGGAAACAATAGGCAAGTGAAGATACTTCGACAACATCAGTCCGCACACTGTATCTCTGTATTCTATTATCTCACATGGATACCTTTGGAGCATATCGGTTCGCAACGATCATTTGAGACGACATCGAAGCGGATATAACGCACACAACAGGCAGAACAAGAAACTTCTACTCCGACTATGTTTACACTGTACCTCCGCATTTTAGCATCTGACATGCCTACAGCTATAGCAGATACGATCGCACTGACCATATAAGATGACATAGACGGACTTATCACGAGAACAATAGGCAAGTAAAGATACTTCGACATCAGTCTGCACACTGTATCTTCGTTTTCTAACATCTCACATGAATTCCTCTTGGAGCATGGTAGTTCGCAACGATCATATGAGACGATATCAAATCGGGTATAACAAACACAACAGGCAGAACAAGAAACTTCGACTATGTATAGCGAATAAAGCGATACTGGTAGCATGTGTGTGTGATTGTTCCCAAAAAAGCAGTGTTTATGAGTGGTTCAAAGTACATCTTATGGTTGAATTCCTGATTGATGTGTTCCTGGGAATACACTGAAAACTGTGAGTAGAATCTTTAATTGGATAAATGAAAATCACAGCTTGAATTGAGTAAACAAAACCTCTGAATAACACATGCGAGCCACAAGAAACAGTCACACAAAAAGCGAAATTGATTACTTGCTCATCGATACAAATAAATAGTACGGTAAAAGTAGATAGAAATATGAGTGAAATTTCAAACAATGATTTACTTGCCAAAGTAGAAGTGATTATTAAAAATGAAACGATCGAGTTGAAATCTGATATTCAAAGTTTACGAGATAGTTTGAATGAAAAAACAAGGATACAGGAAGAGAAATGCAATAATCTGGAAAGCAGAATAATCTACATAGAACGATTCAATAAAAGGAACAATATAGTAATTTTTGGGATGGAGGCAGACAAAGATAACATCCTTGAAGCCACTATTGAGAAGCTGAATGAAATATTCAACTGCAACTTTTCCGAGAGAAATATAAACAACATATATTTTATTGGAAAGAAGAGTAAGATCATTCTAGAGTTCATCTCATACCTTCAAAAGCAAAAATTTTTCCAAACTCTGAAGAAATTACGAGGCTCTGTTATTTCTATATCACATGACTTAGGACCAGAAGATCAAGTGAAAAATGAAATACTGGTGAAACATCTCGAAAGTGCTAGGATTAAAAATCACCAGGCATATATTAAGAATCTCAAACTATATGTGAATGGTACTTCATACACACCGGAAGAATTAGAGAGTGGCAGCAGAGAATTCGAGATTGAACTACTACCCAAATCAAATAGTGCATCACCCACCCCAACTACTAGCCATAAAAAAGAGAAGGAAGACATCGCAGACAATCCAGGAATATTAGAAAACTTTAAAATTACGGAGGAGTCGATAATTGGCGGGAAAACAAATGATAAGAACAAAACAGACGTCGTTGGTCGTCTTGATTTTCATCGAATTTAGGGCGAAAATCATACACTTGTCACTCACCTTTTGTTTTTCAATGAACTTAGAATTATTTCGCGTCATGACGTCGTACTATTCTTTTCGTTTTTCGTGATACGGTGTTCGGACTATTTCCATGTGGTATGCCGTTGCGGAAATCGACAAGAGTGTTGGGGTATCTTTCGATTTAGATTTTCGATATTTTGTGCCGTTCTCGAAATATATGAGAGAATATGAATATCTGGACTCGAAGAAATTTCATCAAAAATAATACTTGTCCAATTCTTTTTTACAGTAAATAGGCAATTTTGAGTAACAATGTATAGAGACTTCTTCGTTGGTCGTCTTGATTTTCATAGAATTTCGGGCGACACACATACACTTGTCACTCTTTTTTTTTTTTTTCAATGAAATTGGGATTATTTCGCGTCATGACGTCGAACTGATTTTTTTTGTTTTTCGTGATATGGTGTTTGGACTCTCTCGATGTGGTAGGCCTCTGCGGAAGTCGACGGGGGTGTTGGGGTATTTTTCGATTCGGATTTTCGATATTTTGTGCTGTTCTCGAGATATTTGAGAAAATATGAATATCGGGACTTGAAAAAATTTCATCAAAAATAATACTTCTCCAATTCTTTTTCCCAGTAAAGAGGCAATTTCGAGTAACAATGTATAGAGTCTCCTTCGTTGGTCGTCTTGATTTCTATCAAATTTCGGGCCAAAAACTTACACTTTTATTTTATCAATGAATTAAAATTATTTTGCGTCATAACGTCGTACTAATTTTTTTGTTTTTCTTGATACGATTTTCGGACTTTCTCTACGTGGTAGGCCGTTGCGGAAGTCGACATGGATGTTGGGGTATTTTTCGATTTGGATTTTCGAGATTTTGTGCCGTTCTCGAGATATTTGAGAAAATATGAATATCGTGACTCAAGAAAATTTCATCGAAAATAATACTTTTCCAATGTTTTGCTTCCAGTAAAGGGGCAATTTTGATTAACAATAAAACGAGATTTTTCCGTTGGTCGTCTTGATTTCTATCGATTCTTGGGCGAAAAACATACACTTGTCACTCACCCTTTTTTTTTTTTTCAATGAAATCAGAATTATTTCGCGTCATGACGTCGTTCATATTTTTTTGTTTTTCGTGATACGGTGTTCGGACTTTCCTCATGTGTTAGGCCTTCGCGAGAGTCGACAAGGGTGTTGGGGTATTTTTCGATTTAGATTTTAGATGTTTTGTGCTGTTCTCTAGATATTTGAGAAGATATGAATATCGGAACTAAAAAAAATTCCATCAAAAATAATACTTTTCCACTTTTTTTTTTCCAGTAGAGAAGCAATTTTGAGTAACAATGTATAGAGACTTTCTCGTTGGTCGTCTTGATCTTTATCGAATTTCGGGCGAAAAACAAACACTTGTCACTTACTTTTTATCTCAATGAACTGAGATTCATTTCGCGTCATGACGTCGTAAAAATTTTTTTGTTTTTCGTGATACAATGTTCGTACTTTCTCCATGTGGTAGGCCGTCACGAAAGTCGACATGGGTGTTGGGGTATTTATCGATTTAGATTTTCTATAATTTGTGCTGTTCTCGAGATATTCGAGAAAATATGAATATCAGAGTTTTGAGAAATTCCATCACCAATAATACTTCTCCAATTTTTTTTCCAGTGAAGTGGCAATTTTGAGTGACAATGTAAAGAGATTCTTTCATTGGTCGTCTTGATTTTTATTGAATTTCGGGCGAAAAACATACACTTGTCACTCACCTTATGTTTTTCAATGAACTTAAAATTATTTCGCGTCATTACGTCGTTCTATTTTTTTTGTTTTTCGTGAAACAATGTTCGTACTTTCTCCATATGGTGAGCCTTCGCGAAAGTCGACATGGGTGTCAGGGTATTTATCGATTTAGATCTTCGATAATTTGTGCCGTTCTCGAGATATTTGAGAGAATATGAATATCAGAACTTTGAGAAATTCCATAAAAAATAATACTTTTTCTTTTTTTTTTCAGTAAAGAGGCAATTTTGAGTGACGAGATTTTTTCGTTGGTCGTCTTGATTTTCATCGAATTTTGGGCGAAAAACATACACTTGTCACTCACCTTTTGTATTTCAATGAACTTAGAATTATTCCGCGTCATGACATCGTACTAATTTTTTCATTTTCGTGATACAATGTTCGGACTCTCCCAATGTTCGGACTTTTTCCATGTGGTAGGCCGTTGCGAAAGTCGACAGGAGTGTTGGGGTATTTTTTGATTCAGTTTTTCGATATTTTTTGCCGTTCTCGAGATATTTGAGAAGATATGAATATCAGGACTCACAAAAATTTCATCAAGAATGATACTTCTCCATTCTTTCCTTCCAGAAGAGAGACAATTTCGAGTTACAATGTATAGAGACTTTCTCCTTGGTCGTCTTGGTTTTTATCGAATTTCGGGCGAAGAACATACACTTAACACTCACCTTTTTTTTTCAATGAACTCAAAATCATTTCGCGTCATGATGTCGTACTAATTTTCTTGTTTTTAGTGATACAATGTTCAGACTTCCTTCATGTGGAAGGCCGTTGCGGAAGTCAACAGGAGTGTTGGGGTATTTCTCAACCGTCAACCGTCAACGTGCAGATGGAAGTGGAGGGAGAGCGCCCTGGCTCTGAAAGAGAGGAAGCGGAAACGCGGAGAGAAGAGGAACTCCTTCGATCACTGGGCTCCGAGAGCGGTTCTGCTGACGAGGGATCGTCGTATCACTCGACAGTCAGCTCTGCAATGGAGGCTCGTTGAAAGAAAAAGAGAAAGGGCCACAAAAATAGGCAGAGGGCAAGAAGTAGGCTAGAGGACAAGAAAAGGGAAAGGCAACACAGGCGGAGGGTATCTGAAACAGAAGGTCTAATCGGACCATTCGAGGGCACCCCGGAGACTACAGAGGAAGCGCTGCCAGCTGGGTCAGGAGGTCCTAGTGAGGACCTCCAGACCCAGCAAGTGAGGTTACCGGAATCGCGAGCCGGAACAGGGAGTCCCACTAGGGATTCCCAGGCCCGGCGTCGTGGTTCCGGATCCTGGTCAAGGCCTAAGAGGGGACCCGATGCCAGAAGAGAGAAGAGGCAGCAGAAGGTCCTTGCGTGGCCTCCAAACGTGCTACCGACTGCGCCGAGATCGGCGGGGAACGTCGGATCTGAGGACCCACAGGAAGGGACCTCGAAGTCCAGACCAACCGTGTCGCCTAGGCGTGGGTACGGGGGCACGAAAAATAGGCCTAGGAAAAAGGACACTTTCCCTGACCGGCCCGCCAAAAGAGGCAAAGAGGGTAGGACTCGGCCATCGGGTCAAACGGCAAATGTTTCACCTCTACTCAGGGGAGAGGCAGCAGCTGCTGGTTGGGAGGCGGGGACCAGAAACCCTCGCGCGACCTCTTACAGCGCGGCCGTGAAGAGGGAGATGCAAGTGGTGGTGAAGAGTGATCGGGAGGACGGCACTGTTCTTCCTGCTGAGAGCGAGGCCATCAGGGCCAACCTGATGAAGCGACTGCTCCGGACCTTGGAGGGCCCCGAAGGGGGACCCCGAGGCCCGGAGCTCCGCTTCAGGAACTCCGGTGTCGTGGAACCGGGATGGTTCCTTATAACCGCCCAGGATCAGACGTCGCTGGAGTGGCTCCTGGGCTGTGCCCTCAGCAGATGCCTTGTGGCCGGTGAGGATCGGCTTCTGGCTCAAGTCTCAGGAATTGGACGTTGCCAGAGTCACCAGAGTGCCCAGATTCCAGAACCGTTCATTGAATGTGGAGAGGTGGAGGCACCTGGAGACAGTAGGAGAGGCTGGAGGGTGGTTCCTGACCTTCATGGTCAGCCAAGAGACTGCCCAGGCCTTGGAGGAGCAGGGCATGGGGCTCTATTATGAGCTGTTTACCCTGGCGGTTCGGAGAGTGCCGCCGGGGCCCATGCCAGGCTCCGCCAAGCAAGGCAGCGGTCCCCCGGACAAGACCAAAAAAGGACCAACTCCACCCAAATGAGGCAGCAATGGAGGGGAAGGTAAAGGTGAGTCAGATTAATCTGCAGCACAGTAAGGATGCGACCGGGGAACTGGCAAGCATCCTCACTGGTAAGTCTGTAATAGTCTTAATCCAGGAGCCATATGTTTACAGGGAGAAAGTTAGAGGACTGGGAGGCAGCGGCCACCGTCTTCTAGTAGGCAAGGGGGCAGAGGAGGAAGCACCAAGGACGGCGATCCTGGCATCCAGGGATCTCGAAGTTGTCCATGTGCCGCAACAAGGAAGCAGGAATGCTACTGTCGTCGTCTTGGAAATTGAGGTAGAAGGGACTAATCATAAGGTGATGGTAGGAAGTGTGTATTTACCATATGATAATGCGCACTTACCTTCAACGGAGGAATTATTGAATATAGTAAGGTATATTAGGATAAATGGTATACATCTGATATGAAGGTGTGATGCGAACGCCCATAACACGATGTGGGGCAGCACAAATGTGAATGCGCGTGGTGAAGCCCTACTCAAATATCTAGCGACTACCAATTTAGAGATTTTGAATAGGGGAACGGAACCAACATTCGTCAATCGCATTCGACAGGAAGTGATTGACGTCACGTTGGCGACGTGAGATATCTTCAGGAGCATCAAGGACTGAAGGGTATCGGAAGACATTCCGATGTCAGATCACCGAATGATCAGGTTCAGCATCCACGCTGAGGTAAAGTAGGCTCCACTACGCCGAAACCCTAGAGCGACCAATTGGGAGACCTTCCTAGATGTTCTCTCGAGGACCGCAGGGGAATATGTGGAGATCCGCTCAAAGGAACAACTGGATCAGGAGGTAGACACACTTGGCAATACATTGACCAAGGCGTTTGAAGAAGCATGTCCCTTGAGAGCGGCACCAACTCGCCGCGTACGGTGATGGAACCAAGCTCTAAAGGAACTGAGGAAAGTGACCAGGAAAGCGCACAACAAAGCGACTAAGACAGGTGATGAAGGGGCCTGGTGTGACTATAA